TCTATTAAATTTTCTAACAAAGCTTTTTCTTTGTTCATTTTAAATAATAAATTCGATATAACTGTAACGTATGACTCCTGATCACACTATGTAGATAATAACTGTGTTACGGTATTTATATATAATATAAATATATAAAGTATTTTCTTAAATAATATTAAGGTTTACTTATAATTTACAATATCAAACAACAACTAATTTCAGTACTTATTTAATTTTAATAAATGTATGAAAACTACATCTATATCTTCCTTCATTCATTTCCCGAGTCTTGTCGATAACCATAAACCCATAATCACTGTGATTCCAGCATAAATGAGAAATTTTCCGAAATTCAGTGAAATCCATATCTGCAGACGAATGATCGTTGAATATATGTCGTAAGTTTGTATCATCTTGTTTCAGTATTATTAAAAAGTTTGCGTTATCTCTTACTAACTGTTTCGATATTTTAGAATATGTTTGTGCTAAATAAAATACAGAGCTAGCACCTGAATGTCTACCAATGCTAAAGTAATCTCTGATTACAGATTGCGGACCACATATAACATCATCAAAAATTATAATGGAATTTTTCTTAGTTAAGTTCGGTTTTATAACTTTATCGGCGCTAGTAAATATGTACATATTAGCACCTTGTATATCATCTATTATTTTTTTTAATATAACATATTTTTCCTGATTAGAGGTTTTAGAGTATAAATAAATATTTTCAAATCTTAACCCGTTTGCATGTGTGATCAGATTATACATTATATTTGTTTTTCCTGAGCCACTGGGACCAACTAGTATAGCACGTATAGTATCAGGTAATAACGAACCGTGTCTTGAAGGTTTTTTTACTATCTGAACATCTACATTTATAACATCTAATTTATCCTTCTGTTCAATCAAATTCATTTTATTTTTCTTATAAATACTCTAGAATTTTTCAATCGAGAATCAGTTATAGATGAAACGTTCAACTCGTAAGTGTAAATCAGACAAGACTGGTAAAGGATTTGTAAACTTCCTTATAAATAGTCTCCCGGTTGAAGCCCATGTTCCAGGCTATCAGTATTGTGGTCCTGGTACAAAATTAAAAAATAGGCTAGATCACGGTGATAAAGGAATAAACCCATTGGACGCTGCTTGTCGTGATCACGATATTGTATATGCAACGAGTAATAATTTAGACGATCGACATAAAGCTGATCAAGTGTTAGAAAATCGTGCTTGGGAAAGATTTAAAGCAAAAGATACTCCTAGAAAAGAGAAATTGGTTGCATACGCAGTAACAAACGCGATGAAAGCTAAAAGAAAAATAGGTATGGGTTGTAAACGGAAACGTGCTATAAAAACAAATGGTATACTAGCAGCGAAGAAAAAAAGAATCTCAAAGAAAAAGAATGGTGGTAAAAGGCTGATTTTAGCACCGAGACAGTCAGGAGGTGTAATTCCTCTAATACCTATATTTGCGGGATTGTCAGCACTTGGTAGTTTGATGTCTGGAGGTGCTAGTGTGTATAATGCGGTTCAAAATTCAAAAAGAAAAAAAGGTAGTGGTTTGAAATCAAACAAGAATAGGTTAAAAAAAAACTGATGATTACGCTACCTGACAGACCGCTTTCGTCTCAAGATATTATAAAATATGTTGTAAAGTTGAAAATCAATCATTTCCGTGGAGTCTTTTCACGTGATAACTTACCTAAAAAACCACATACGGTTGAATGTGGTATATTAAACTTGGATATATCTTCAGGCGACGGAAGTCATTGGGTAGCGTTTTATAAAAATAAGGACAAAGTTGTATATTTTGATAGCTTTGGTGATTTACCTCCACCAATTGAATTACAACATTATTTCAGACAGTTCAAAATAGTATATAACTATTCCAACTATCAAGACTTCAATACATTTAACTGTGGTCATTTATGTCTTGAATTTTTACAATGCATGAATCTATTACATTAAGTTTGACTGGAAATTCAACTGTATTATCTGTAAATTATTTTCCACCTATAAACCTTTACGATGACTCAGAAATAGCTTTGTTATGTTTACAGTCATTTAATTCATTCCCAAATATTAATGAAAATAATAATAAATTTTCTATACAAGTAGTTGATAATGAAAACAATAATAATCCTATGATATGTTTTATTACATTGGAAGAGGGTTGTTATGAAATTGAAGATATTAAGGATCGAGTTAAGAAGCAAATAGTTGCCTATAATAGTAAAAACTTAACCAATTTAACATTCGACATTACGGTTGATCCTGATGATTTCAGATCGTATATAAAATGTAATGGGATACTACACTTTGAATATCCATTTAGTATAGCACCTGTATTCGGTTTTGAAAAACGAGTATATAATCCATACAACATTCTTCGATCGGAAAAAGCTGTAAATTTAAACACAATTAATTCTATAAAAGTAATGTGTAATATAGCTCAAGGATCATTCAGCAACCATCTTCAGAGTCATTCGATTTATGAGTTTTTCCCGAGTGGAAAGACAGGGTCGAAAGTAATTCAGGCACCGCCAAATTTAATATATTACAAATTGAATAAAACAAATATTGATTCGATAACCGTTCAGTTAGTTGATCAAGATCATAATCCGATTGATAATTTTGGTGAGGCATTGACAATCGTGTTACATATTAAACGTTACGGGTCTTGAGATGGGGTTGAAATTCAATATAAACCCGCTACTTCGGATCAGCACAACTAGTCATAAGACTAAAGTGCTACCAGCAACATCAAATAAGATAAAAAAATTAACGGTAAAAAATAAAAAAATTTTACAAGCTCTGGGTTATCAATTAAAGCAGAATGCCTGAGAGTGATATTTTAGATATAACTTCACAGTACGAGACGGATTCTAAAATTACGAAAATTGAATATCATTCATACACACCGTATACTACGTCATTTAATAATAATGATGAAATACGTATATCAATCCAGCAAACGGATGTCTACCCATATCTACACGAAAGCTTTATTTTTTTAGGAGGAACAATTACTGATGCTGCCAAAGTGAAACTATCTAATAACGGTTACTCTTACCTCTTCGAACAAATACGATTGGAAATCAATGGGATAGAAGTAGATAGCACACGTGTTCTTGGAATCACTAGCTCGTTGAAAGGTTACTTATCCGGTACGCCAGATAACTACAATTGTTACGAAAATGCTGGTTGGAATTTTAAAAACGCAACGCAATCGGAAAATGATAAAGGTGAATTTAGTGCTTGCATTCCATTGAAATATTGGTTAGGATTGTTTGAAGACTATAAAAGAATACTAGTGAATTCTAGATTGGAATTAATATTAACCCGAAGTCATAGTGATTTAAATGCTTTACAAGTTAAAAGTGGTGCAACTTCTACTGAAGGTAAAGTCGTTTTAAACAAAATAGTCTGGAAGGTCCCACATATAACAGTCGACGACGAAGAAAGGTTAAAATTATTGAAACTTATAGAAAAAGAAAAAAGTTTGTTTATTCCTTTTAGATCTTTTGAAACTTTTGAATATCCTGAACTCGGAACCAGTAAGAAAGTTGTATGGAATTTGAAAACTGCTTCAAAATTAGAAAAACCACGATTTATCATAATTGGATTACAAAAAGGACGCAAAAATTTGCTAACAAAAGATTGTAGTATATTCGATCATTGTAATCTAACAAACGTTAAAGTATTTCTGAACTCGATAGCTTATCCATACGATAATTTGAATTTAGATTTTACTAAAAATAACTTCACCTTATTATATAATATGTATACATCGTTTCAAGAATCGTACTATGAAAAAAATATACGGAACCCGATATTGAGTCCATCCACTTTTCTATCAAATGCTCCAATTATAGTCATTGATACTTCGAAGCAGAACGATTCAGCCACAGCCTCAGCAGTAGATGTTCAATTAGAAATTGAAGCATCAGAATCGCTTACAGGTGTAACTGCTTATTGTTTATTAATTCATGATCGTATTGTAGAATATGTACCTTTTACTAGAGAAGTAAGAAAACTTGTGTAAATAATTTTTTAAAATTAATATATAATTGTATTTGTAAATAAAATAATATTTAATAAATAATATATATTTTCTTAAATTATTTTTACTACTAAACTAAAAGAAAAAATATATAAATATTTTGTTTGTGTAACAAATTATATAACTAACTATACACAGTTCTGTGATGTGTTACACGGTGGTGTGTTACATGCGGTTACATAAAATATTTAAGAAATCACACTTTTGAGATTTTGTGTTACACGGTGGAGCATGTAGAAATGTCCGCTTGAAAATGAAGAAATCTCACACGGTGATCAAAAGTACTGTAAGGGAGACTTTCCCCCTTGAACTTTTTTTTTTCCCCTGTAAAAATGGACGCAGAACATACAAATATATACTACTCGCGTGAAGATGCCACCGGCCGTAGACGACGGCGGACGGGTGGAACAGGCCGATGATCAGGCGTCTAGGATCAATGTCCCGGACCTACAGTCAGTAGATGCATGTACTTCGTGAGTATCTCGTACCGCTGGCGTACTCGTCTGCCGACTAGAGCCCGACCCCTTCTCATTTTTCATTTTGCGCAGGTCCCCAATGAAAGGTTTTCGCAGAGACCTCACTGCGGAAGGTCTGCAAGCCCAGCTGCCGAAAGAACACCCGCTCCTAAAATTGCACAGAGCCAGTCTCGACATCAGCCACGGGGTGGATTCAGCGGCGGTTAAGAACTACTTGGGAAATATCTCGCGAATCCTATATTACGTCTCCACGTGGCTGCGTGATAGGAAAACGCCACCCGTCCACTGGTCGGACTTGCTGAGCTGCGCGGTCGACCCATACATGGAATATTTAGAAAAGTGAGTGTTCCGTGTATACATTTGGTACGTATTCGGTATATTTTCAACTCGTATTTGCGTTCCGCAGGAGAGAATCACTGGGCCAGACGGTGGCCACGTCAGTTAATTACATAAAGAATCTGGTTACGTTATTTGACATGGCCATTACTAATTACAGTGTTGAGGACATGCATTTTCCCAAGTCGTTTGACCTCTTGCCATGCCCTAACGTGATCGGTAAAATGAAATTGCTTCTGGCCAAAATTAAACTCTTGTATAAAAGCAAACTGAAAAAACAGCCTCAAGAGCTGTTTGACAGGAAGACAATGGAGGCACAGGCGCTCCCCGAGTACACAGAAGTCCGAAAAATTATAAAAAAAGTTGAGACGGACGTGCCGGAATTCTTAAGTAGACTAGAATCGAGCGTGGTCGCGGACGGCGAGATCAACGTCGCCCCGGTAAAAGGGTCGCCGATTCAAAAAATGGTAAGTCACAAGCCGATTACGCACGGTCGGCGGGCATCACTCGGCCCCGCTCGACCGCGTTCCTTTGTTTTCATTTTTCTCTTTTCGTTGCAGGTCAGCAGTTGGTGGAGAAAATCTACTTGCAGCCTGGCAGTTCTAGTGCTGTGGTTTTCGAAGCACCGAAGTGGGGTCATATCGAATATGTTGATGAGCGAGTGGCTGGTAAGAAAACAGCAGGAAGATAAAACGGTGGGGACCGTCGCCAAGCATAAAACGGGCGATAAGGAGCCGTCGCTGATCGTGCTCAGCGCCGACCTGGCGGCCCTGTTGGAGAGGTGAGTTCGAATAGTCCTAACCCAGCAAACTATCCCCTGACCCGATCTGACCGTACGGCGTCCATGTTCGCAGGTACTATCGCATCCGTTTCCGTGTCCGTACCACACGAAAAGAATTTTTCATCACGAACACCTGTGGTAGGGTTGTGAAAATTTACGACGACGTGAATAAGATTTATAAGCTGCAGGACACGAAGAGTCAGTTGTCGGCTTGCGTGTTCCGGAGGATGATAGAGAGCGAGTCCCGGGGCCACGACAGTACCACATGTGCCGGGGTGGCAAAAGCTCTTCAACACGACCCGGAGACCGCTCTCAGGTACTACCAGGTACCGGACACCAACGAGGCCATACGGAGGCAGGCACATATAGACGTTGTCGACCACACGAAGTTGTTAAAAGACATGGTGGCTGAAGAGTGAGTACCCAAATCGACCGGCCGACGGTCAGACGACTCGCGTACGATATAATACGATTTGTGTTTCAGGTTAGACACGTTGTTCCCACTCGAACCGTACGCCAATTTGAATGACCTGGATGCGATACGGGAAAAGTTGGAAGATTCGAACGCAAAAGCTATGTATCCAAAGGCCAATATTACGGATGCGTACCTGAACCAAATTCGGGAAAACTTTAATAAACAAGTCGCCGGAGAGAGGGTCAACATTCTTGTGGAAATATTGATGGCTGACTACACCCGAGATAACATATCAAAACAAGCCATCATAGATGCGGCTAAACGTAAGAAGCTCCACTACTTTCTCAAACACGACGCGGATAAAATATGCAGGAAAGTAATGAACCGGTTCTGAAGAAAAGACGTCACGGTCGAAAGCGCCCGGCCGGAGTAAAGGTTAGGTTAGGCTAAGTGGATTAGGCCTACTGGGGAACCACTATAAAAAAAACGCGCTTCAGCTGATACCCCTAGGGTAGTGTGGAAATTCAGCTAGTACCAGGGCATTTCGGCTTTAAGTAAACAATTATTTGCCGCATCATTGCAACGAAGATTAGAAAAAAAGGAGGAGACCGTTGGACAATACGCCTTTTTTTTCGAAACCAAATCGCCGTACCACTACGCAGCATCTGACGTCGGTAAACAATAATAATAATAATAATAATAATTATAATATAATTTAGTAGACTAATTTTTGTCAATTTTTTTCGAAGCAGAAGGTGCGCAACCATCTCAAAATTTTCCTTCAGAAACATTATGAGAGAGACAATGTCAACCCCGGAGACGGCGTGGAGAAAAAATAAATATCTCGCTTCAATAGTGCGATAGTGTTAGTGATTCTAGGATTGCTCCGGTCGTCCGTTTGGCAATGCCCGCTCGTCCCCTACCCTGTAGATATAGGAATTATTTGCCATTCGTCATCCACATCGTCACCACGCCGCCTAGATTTCTAAGTTTTTCTTTTTCTTATTTTAAGTGTCATGTCTTTCAATAACATGGAAAGTGCTTTGAGGGCTTTGAAAGCTGGAACGCAGTCCATCGCCAAAGCCAGCCGCTTTTATGCGATCCCCGAAACTACGCTCCGCGAGTACGCCCGGAGAGAAGGGATTACCGTGAAAAAGGTATGTTGTTGATTTTTTTGTTATTCAAAGTGTTCAATATTCTATTTATTCACGGGGCATATGTGTTCAGGCAACCCGCGGCTACGTCCCGACCAAGGATAACGTTGCATTGAAGGAAGCGATTGATTTAGTGGTTTCTAAAGGTCTACCCGTAAACACCGCGGCAATCATTAAAAAAGTTCCAAGAACCACGCTTAGAAAGGCGCTCATGGCTAGAACCATTGCTGAGGCCGGTATACCAAAAGCGGCCAAAAAAAACGCGCGTTACGAGGTGAATAGCGCACTTCTACGATCCATCTCACCTCCGAAAAAAGTGTCTTCGCCGTGTAAAAACTCTAACCATACCGGGGTGGTTGTGATGGAACCAGAGGCGACGGACCGAATTCTTGGGAAAAAAGGTAATATCATCAAATTATTTATCTTTTTATTAAAATATTAGGGTCTCTTCCATCCGCTTCAGGGGCTACAACTCCGATTGTAGTTTTGGAGACTTCCGTACAGGAAAATGGCCAAAAACCCGTCGAGAAAGGTAACGGTAACATTTTTCTTTTTAACGAATGCATTATTGAGTTGTATCTTTCCGCAGGAATGGAAAAGCTTGTAGATTTGGAGACTTCCGTACCGGAACCTAGGAAAAAGCTCGTCAAAAAAGGTAACATAATTAATAACGTATTATGATTAATAGTTTTAGTCATAAACTATAATTGCTTATTGATATGGTTTTTTTTAGTTGTTTTGAAATTCAAAGGGGAAAGATGCAAACGGGTCAAGCGCTTGGTGGAGGTCCACGAGCGCTCGGCGTATTATCCGAGAAAACCCGCTTATGGTATAATGACTTTTAAATTTAATTATTTGCCTTTTCTGTGAAATAACGTATTATGTGTGATGCAATATTTTATAGATGAAGAACCTAAGCAAGACCGTGCGGAGGTTGCTCATGAGGAACCTAAGCAAGACTGTGCGGAGGTTTCTCATGAGGAACCTAAGCAAGACTGTACGCAGGTTTCTGATGATGAGCCCGAAGTCACTGGGCCAATGATGCCGATCAGCACACACGTACGGTTTTTGGAAGACGTGACTTACACACCCGTCGTTGTGGATGACGACCAGGAGGCCCTAATGGTGTGCACCAAAAACCGTAAGTGTTATCTTCGTGAATTTATTTATACATTTTATAATAACGTATTAATTTACAGCTAACGAAAATGCCGTGGATGAAGATCCGTACGCCTTCGTCGACGACGAACCGGGTATGTGCCGTATATACGCACCTAACGATTTCACGATTTTTATTTAACGTTACCGTTTCAGAATTGGAACACTGGCGAACTTTAATAATTTTTTTATACATTTTATAATAACGTATTAACTTACAGCTGTCAAAAAAAGGGCGCTCGACGTGGACGCAGTCTACACGCCGTCGCCATCCACGTCACCTGAACCGTCACGGGACCACAGCAATCGTAATATTATGTCACCGGTAGCAGGTCCATCATGGGCCGACGGACAAGAAGTATTGAATTACCTTCCGGGTTCCGAAGACGGTATGTTATATTTTGTAGTTTATGTTTTACATCGTTTCCTACGTTCGTGCGTTTCGTTTCAGCCATGATTGTCGGAAACGATCGACGGTCGTTGTCCACGTCGCCCGCTCCTTCGGTAGTTCTAAAAATTGCGTCTCCACTGATATTGAACGGTGATTCCGACAGTGACGGAGAACCGGAGGCAAGACGTCCAGTCCGGATGACTTGTGTCCATAGGCGTGCGCACGGAGCGAGCCGGTCAAGCCCAGGCTCGACCTGAAACTTTTTAGGGGCATAGTAAAATGTGCGTATATATTTAAATATTTTATTATAATGCTTATATTATAATAATATGTTCGTGGAGATCATGAAAATTTTGTTTGTCGTGAAAGTATAAAAAAATCAAAAATATTTGTGTGTACCTACCTAACCTAACCATTACATACATTTTATTAATCTAAAAAAAAAACATTATACCTTCATAGGTACAAATACAATAACTATAGTACTTTAGACATTAATAGGTTAATATATTATCATTTATCAGCATGTATGTTGGTGTGTTAAAAAAAAAATTAGGGGCGCAGTCCAAATATTAGGGCACTATAATTGTCTAGGCTCGACCAGTTATTTAAGTCTGCGCACGCCTATGCTTGTGTCGAACGGCAAGCGCTGGCACAAGACGTTCCTGTAAGTCGATTAATAAGATGAATATGAACTATAAAATCTCTAATATTGATAATTTATTTCAAAAATTAGATTATCAAATATTGTCCGATGTGCACGTACACGACGTCGGGCAGCAAGTTAGACAGGCACATAACGAACAAACACAAGGCTCTCATTAAGAAACCGTTCAAACAAAACGTCACCGCAATTAGCAAAAAAATAGTCGCCGAATCGAGACGGTCCTACACGCTTGTCCCGATGTCGGCCATCAAGGCGAAGATGGGGCCGTATTGGGACGACAGGTGTTTCAGGAGCGTTGCACATGAGTAAATACCGATTGATTTATTCACATATTCAAATTCTATGTTTTAATCTGCGTTTTCATTTCAGACTGACAACTATGGGACGATTGAAGGTTTACGGAGGTTCTTGGCACCTACCGGGTGTCAAAGATTACCCGAATCCTTTTTCGGACAACATTCAGACCGACCTCACGTCAGACGGAGTTGTAGACTTTCCGGTGCCCCCGATGGTGATAAAACCACCAAAGGTATTTGCACCATCCTCTCCAACAACACCAGTTGCTGCTGGAACATCACGAGGAGTAGAGACACCTTGCACAGCGTCGACGGAAGGACCGGTGACCACACCAACGGCTGGTGGGAAAAAATCGTAAGTCCAAACGTCACTAATCGCTCCACGTCATATTCGATATCTGATCATATTGTTTTTTAAATTTAGAATTAGGATGTTGGCCAAGGACATGGGGTTGAACGATAGGTTGCCCAGTAGTCATCCCCTAATTTCGATGTTGGAGAAAACTTTGGTGAGGAGTCACGGGGAGGATTCCGAAGCCACCAAAAATTACAGTGCAAATGTCGCGAGGGTGTTGAACTTTGTGCACAAAACGTTATTAGAAGAACATAGACCTCCAAAACATTGGGCCGACCTGGTATCGTGTGACGTCTCAATTTACGAGAGATACATAGAGCTGTAAGTACACGTGCAAGTAGATAAAAAAAATGAATATTAAGACATGTTTATATTGATTTTCAGCCGTGAAAGTATTGGTCAGACGAAATCGACTACCATCAATTATCTTAAAAACCTGCGGATGTTGTTCGTCAACATTATCAATTGTTATACTCTCGAGGACGAAAGTTTCCCTAAAGGATTTGATCTCTCCCCCTGCACAAAAACGGTCACCAAAATCAAACTTTTGATGCACCACCTGGACACGGTGTACAAAAGAAAAACGAAAGAACAGCCGGGGGAGCTGTTCTGCCGGAAGACAAAAGAGGCCGAAGACATACCTGACCACGCGGAGGTTGTCGCGAGCCTGGCTGAAATCAAAACGCATATACCGACCTACCTCGATGCTTTGGAGGAGGCCTTCGGGAACGAAGGTGTGTTCTCCGTCCGAAGCGAGAAAAATAGCCCGGCAGCGCAGAGACAGGTTTGTGTTGCGCGTGACGCTCGCAAGATTTAATCTAATCGATTTATATTTTTTTTAGATATCGAGTAACTGGAGGAAACTGACGTGTGGCCTGGCGATCGATATCCTGTGGACGTCAAAACAGAGGAGCGGGGCGGTTGCGAACATGACCATCGTCGAGTGGGAAGCCAGGAAACACCATCTCACCAGTGCCGTCGTCACGGTGGCTGATCACAAAACGGGCTACAAGGAGCCGGCCACTGTCGTGATTGACGAGGACGTTGAACAACTAATGGAACGGTAATCATTTGAATTAACCTAACCTATATGAGCAGGTTCTTAATAAAATTGTATCTTTACAGATATTATCAGTTAAGACGGCGAACGGGGTACGACTGCCCCAACTTCTTCGTCACCAACCGTGGCGGCAGAATAGTGAAGCTGTACGACGAGATCAGCAACATCTTCGGTGCGAACCTTAGTGCGGGGAAATTTAGGAAGATGGTAGAAACGAGTAGCCGAGGTCACGATGCTGTGACGTCTTCGGGCATCGCGAAGGCGTTACAGCATTCCGAGTCGACGGCACTACAGTATTACCGTTTACCAGACA